GCTTCTCTGCTCCACCTGTGCGCTTCCACAGTCCTCTCCATTCTCTCTCTCGCATTGAGTACTCTGATCCAAACCGTTTGGCGGAGGCGCGGAGAGCATTGCCATGACTAACCGATTCATGATTTAGTAGAGATTTAATTATCGAATGGCTAATTCGGAAATAATCGCTTTAGTACATTCGGCAGGCAATTATACATATTCCATCCGTGTTAGGCTATAGGAATTCCGTTTTTATGACAGGATTCTACGAACCAGTCTGTGTTTTCCGCATGCGTCTCAGAGTAGCAGTGGTGGAAAGAGTACTGAAGAGTACTGTTACATTGCTGACATAATACTCAATTACAAGTAAAAGTACTGGTGTCAAAACAGTACTTAAATAAAAGTACAAAGTACTCCTCTCAAAAACTACTCAGAGTACTAGTTACTAGTTACTTTTTAGCCGGCGATATTTAATGAATTACCAAAAATATTTATATCAAAGAGCTATGTGGATAATAGCTACTTTGTCAATAAGATAAAAGTGGATTTTGTTCAAAGTATGTGAATTGGTGGTCATGATACAGGAATTTCTAACTTCAATACCTTGAAAAATAACAGTATCAAAGTACCCGTGAACCGGAAGTTGCAACTGACTTCAGTGTTGTGATGTATTTCTGAGTGAAACGGAATATTGAATAAAGGCTAAAAACCGCATTATTTTTCACATAATTTACATTATTAACATACCTTTCTCTCCATCCTGGCACAAACGGCTCGATTAGTTCCGGGTTTGATGAAGGCCTGCCGTCCGAAAAACAAAATGTGTTGTGATTGGTTAGCTGTCCCAGTGCGTTGTGATTGGCGAACAGTGTTTCAGTACTGCCCCGCCTCTTGCCAAAGCTGCACCACGCACGGATATTGCAAGACATATTAGACTGGAAACGCTATTGTTGTTTTATTGGCTAAATCACGTTTTAGATAGGATGTCAACAACCGCTTTAAAAACAACTGCATTTACTATGTACAGATAAGTGCAACGGTAATATGTATTACATCACAGAAACAGCATACAACTTATACTTTGAAACGTAATAACACACACAACAACAAATAAAGCAGCACACTTACAGGCTGTGATGCAGATACAGCAGATTGTCCCGACAAAGTGGGAACTGCTCCGTCTTTCAGCAAAAGCTTTTTGGTGAAACCAGCACTGTATTCCCTCATGACTCCCCTCAAAACTTGACGCTAGAGCAGCACTTCTTCATCGTCGTCTTGTCTGATGCACTCAACCAAGCGTTCTAACCACGACCTCGCCCCTCCCCACCCCCCAACCATTCGAATTTCCGCAGGCGGGATTTGTTTTAATGATATTCTAATGGGCCGCTTTGTGACATCACAAACCCCAGAAAACAACGCTGTAGTCCAAACGAGATGTTCGTTGTAGTTCTTGAAAAGGGATTTTTTTTAAACGAAATATCTCCCTTTGGAGTGGACTTTGAGATTTGTAACTTTGTAGATCTTTTTTATGCCCAAACATACACACTACACACTGACTAAAATTCAAAAAGTGAAAAAGCATAATAGGACCCCTTTAAGAATATCTGCTTGTTACGTCTGACATCATGCTTCACCGCTTCTGGGTCCTAACGCTCTGCCAGACGCCCCCCAAAAAACAACAAACTGTGCATATACACACTCATGATGTCACGTAATACTGAAAAATTATAACCCTAACCTTTATCTCCATACTGAAATCCCAGATGGCCAGACAGTGATTCAGCTAAAATATTAGTGTCTGAGATACTGTGAGGACGGAGACTGTAGTGTGCACAGCAAATTTTTAAATGCTTAGCTTAAATATGTAATATTAATTAAATAGTGCTCATAAATGGCTGCTGAGACAGTATTCTCAAGTGAAATAAGTAGAGGCACGGACCTGGAAAGAGCAGTCCTTTTACATCATGACTTAACAAGAGGATTCTCCCGAAGCAGTCAAACTGACGTCATCGGAGCGAGAACGCCATTCCAGAGCGGAAGCGACGGCAGACAATTTTTTTTACAGTGTATTGACTTGCATGGTTCAGTTGTTCGCCACAAGACTAGTAATGTGCACTAACAAAGTAAGTAGGGTATATAGCCATATAGATATTTTAATTATTTTTTTGTCCATCCATTTTTTCAAGGTACTCATTATTTTAAGCTTTGAAATTGGTTTAATCCAAGTCTTCTAAAAAGACACATTGGCTTTATATGATGAACAGATTTTATATAGGCTTTTATTTACATACGTTTAAATATTGATCAATTACCATTACAAAAATCTCAATCTTAAACATTTGCTCATTCTGTGTATTTGTGTCTTTAAAATAGGGTAACTTTGTTGCAAAAGCTTACAGCACAAGGAAGCTTGATTTCAAATTTGCTTTCAAACTGAATTGAATTTACAAAAAAAGACTAGTACACAGTCAGTAATAAAATTATAAAACAAATGACCTCAATTCAGTTTGAGGTGTTCAAAACATGACAACACTGAATTTTTATAAGCAGTGATTTAAGAGCCATATACAGTTTATTTAGATAAGTGGAACAT